GTTTAATATAACAATAAATTAATCTTGTATTAATACAGATTTTACTAAATTACAATATACATTTGGAATGATAAAGACTGTTAAACATTTCTATATTCAATATTTAATATATAATATATTTAAATTTAAATTCTAAAATATTACTAGACGGATAAAAACCTAATAAAAAAGTGAGTATTCACAGGTGAATTCTTAAATATGTAATCAATCTCTTTTTTATTTCATTGGATCATTAGAAAATGATAATAATATAAAAATCTACGAGGTCATAAGAAGCAGCTTTTTAATTTGTTAGAATTATTTAAATATATCTTTGCCAAATTAGATATAATAATTAGCAGGTAGTTCTTTATACTAAAAAGAGGCTCGCTCTTTTATCATTTACTATTATTTTCATTATTATCTTTTTATCATGACTGCTTTAAATAATTTAATTATACTCCAATTTAATCTCACTAATCCTGCTTGTTTTTTAAATAATTGATCTATCGATTTCTACCGGAATATGCTTGGAGTCATTTTTTGTTTTTATTTTCATAATAATCAACATAAATAATAAATTTAATAAACCTATTCCTTCAATTTTATATGTTAAATTAAATACCTATTCCTTAAAAGTCTTGGATATTTTTAATGATTCAACTCCTTTTCAATTAGTTATCAAGATTTTATTTTGTTTTCATATCTTATTCTTCTATTTTATATGGGTTTTTAGTAACTCCTTTATTTCTTAATTGAGCTAATTTCCTTTCAAAACTCTTTTGTGAATGGAATATTTGTAGAATTGCAGTCTATTCGTTTTTTAGTTTTAGCTTAGTTCATAATTAAACAATAAATCATAAGAATATTAATTATTTTTACTCATGCTTTGGATACAAAAAGTATAATTGAATCCAACAGTCTCAAACTTTCTATTAAATTTTTAGATATGTTTTTATTAATATTACAGTTTATACTCCTTATTACTATAACCAAAATAGAAGGTTTATTTTACTTCATGATAGAGAAAAAATCAAACATATCATTACGAATAAAAGTTCAAATATAAAAGTATATTATCATTTTAATATTA